GGGACACGTTTGTCTGAGAAGGTTCGTGTCAAGGTGGAACTGCGACCTAAGGAAGAATTCACAAAAATACCTACTTAAATAAAACAGTACCCCTTATTTACAGATAGAATGCGGACAGTAAACACGGCGCACCTTACGCCTCCATTACCCTTATCGGCGACTGTCATTGATAAAAGATTCGAACGAGAAGCTGAAACGTTAGGGCAATAAATCAACAGTCATATAATGGTTAAACTTGCCGGGGTTAACGGCCACCCATTTGTCTCTCAGGAAAATTCAGGTAGGGATTACTTATATGGCCGCCTCGATAGGACATGGCGATAGGGACCGCTCCTGATACATGCAGTTTTGCGGTAATTTCCTGGAAAATCAGGGTTGGAGTTAATATGAGGATGAAGGCAGTGTCAGCCTAAATGCCAGGGTTAAGAGAATGGCTAGTATCAAGAAAGGGATTATGGTAGAAATTGGGGTTGGGACATGGGAATATTCACCCTTGCTGCAATTTAATGGAAGGCTGCGAGGCGGGGGGCTTATATCAGTGACCCATAGGTTGGGGAAACATAAGAAATCCCGGCAAAAATACCAACTACCAGCATGCAAACACCGGGCAATCGGAGAAATGCAAAAATACAGAACCCTTGCAAATTACGTCGATTGATTAAAGACAAACGGTATGAAATTCACAGAAACTGCAGAGCAATTGTGGACGCAACAAAGAGGTCAAACTGCTTTATTGACTTTTTTGTGTGAATTTTTCACGACAAAAATCTGTAATAAACAAATTGCATACTGGATAAATACAATGAATGCAATGGCCATCGCGTCACGTGAACACGACGCCTAGTGTTATTACCAGCCGACTTAACTAAAAAAACATCCGTTTACGGAAGAGGGAAAATAGAGCGACACTGAAACTGAAAAAGGTAATCCTATGATTAACTAGCACATGCCTTACTAATAATAAAACTGATGCGCAAAAGTCTATCCTGAGGCATTATCAGTCTCGGCTTGGAAAGTTACTGGCTGCCCTGGTAAGCTGAAGTTTCTGTTTCCTCGTAGACAAGTAGCCGAAAGGAAGGGCAGACATAGTAGTCCTGGAACCAGCTCACTAGAGTGTTTACATCGCGGCTATCAGTTAGACCTCATTTGCCGAAACAAAACCGACCGGACGAAGTTCGTATAAGACGTCCAAAATAAAACAAGACGTCGGGGTCCTCATTGCCATTAATAAAGACGCTGAGACGACTAAGAAGAAGCAGATGTCATCGCAGGGACGTTTCGAAATCCTTCGCGGATCCATCATCAGAGATAATAGCAGAAACGGATAATATATACACACAGGAGGTTGCAGTGTTTATAGGATATAGTCGCTATTTTTACGGTG